TTTTTTTCTTTACAAAATCATATTTATATAAAATACCATATACTATATTTTATTCTATATACAAATTTTCTAAGAATTTATTTTTTGTTATGAACAGATACAAATATTTTCTGTCCTTGCTTTATTCATGTTTATAACCATGTTGTGTGTTAATGATAAACCTGATAAAAAGATATTGATGAATGATGCAGCTGTGTTACCTACAATAACACTTTAAGATTAGATCCAGTAATAATTTCTGAAAGGTCAGCTGGTTGTTTCTCACATGATTTTTCTAATTGTGCGCCCTCTTTTGGTGGAATTGAGAAACTGGAGGGGAGGTTATATCAGAGCTTCAACCATCTTTGAATATGCTATTCAGTGATAGGTGTGTTGTATTGCATTATCTTTTAGTCACGTTGTGTTCTATTTAATCTTTTCTTTCTGCATATTAAATTCATTTTGGAGTTGAACACTTCTTTATTGACACACTGAGAATTGCAATAAAGTTGTTTAAAACCAAATTGTATCTAGGTTTGTATTTATGTGACTCCATAATCTACTTGCATATAAACGATTAAGACTTCTGCTTTTCTAATGGAATCTGGTCAAATGTAACACACTACGTGTGAACAATCAGTGGTCTAGAATGCTTGTTCATTCCCGCTGAGCTGTTAGTAGGATGCGTGTGTGTGTCTGCCTGTGTGTCGATCTGAGCATGCTCAGTGTAAACCTGAGCACCACAATTTTACAAGAAATTAAGCATGAAAGATTAAAACTAAGTTGAGTGCCGACTCAGAGTTTGAATAATGTTGCTTTTGCAAGCAAAGTGCTTGAAATAAATTAATAAACCTGAGTGAGTATGGCTTTTTTACAATCACCGTAGACACTTGAAACAAATATGGAGCGCCGACTCGAAATTTCAGTCTGTGCATCTAAGATAAAACATGGAGCTCCATGGCTCGAATTAGCAAGGGCATAATATATTTACATACACCTAACTCATGCGCCTCGTAGGCAATTGCTGAGGAACATCCCAGACACTTTCTCAGACCTATGTAGACACAATAATGGTTTCATACTTGTGACAGTTGATCAAAACAATGGACCATTTTAGATGGTTTCAACTATTATTACTGGTAAGCGTTCAGTTAAACATTTATCAAACAATGTTTTATTCATTGTTGTTATCACTTTATTATTTCATGCATACCGGTACATATTGCTCTTCAATTTAATAAATACATGTAAATTTTATTTGTAGGTTGCATGAAAATAATAAAGTTTGTTGATACAATTATTCAAAAAAAAAACTACCTGAAACTCTTTGTGAGAACAGTTTAGTTTCGATTACAGTTTCTGATTTTTAACTCATCATTGACTATACAATTATTATTTTTGGATTTTGATAATATTTAGGCAACTGGCAGTGTTTCCGCAATAGAAAATGTCATCCGCTGTTGTCCTAGGCCATGTCTGACAATTCCATTCATGGCATGTACGGTATAACCCGTTTTGTGGTGTGATGCAAAATATCTGACTGATAATCATTTTTGTGCAAGTAACACCAAAAATTAGCATTTGAACAAATCAACAATTATTCGTGCATTCCTGAACCGATTTCAATAAAACTTTGCGGCTGGGTTACATCAATTTGTTTTGTGATTTTATTCAAAATCTACACAAAATTGCCAAAAAAGTGAGTGTTTAATGCACAGTTTTCAAACTGATGCAAGACCTATATTTGTTATGACTAAACTTTAGTCCATTTTTTTTTCCATGCAGAATTCTGTTCAGATGTCCGGTATGTTATTGTATTGTTTTAAAAAATTTATTCTCACTTTTGCGGGAAAAAAAGACATTGTACCAAGTGGTGGGTGCATCGTTAGTTTGTATTTGTCCTGAATTCTTGTTTGTTCAATTGGCAAGGTTGTAAACGTTTTGCTATGTTTTAATTTATTCAACTTTGGTTGTATACATATCTATTATTTTCCTCTATTAAAATTCTATTCTATTTTTGACTCCTGTGTGCGAAGCACACAATGGGAGTCTTTGCAGTTACCCTGTCTGTATGTGTGTGTATGTGTATCCATCTGTTCCACTGATATCTCAGGAATCATACATCGTTTTTTGATGAAACTTGGTGCATAGATGCTCTGGGCCAATGCGCAGATTTGATTAGGTTTTGGTAGAAATCCATGCATATTAATTACCTAATTTGCATGATAATTAGCTCATTTTTAGCTGTTCCATGAATGTTCCACTGATTTCTAAAGAACCACTCATTGAATTTTGATGAAACTTGGTTCATAGATGCTCTGAACTAATGCTAGTTTTGATTAGTTTTGGGTGAAAATCTGTGCATATTAATTACCTAATAATGATTAGTTAATTTTCGGCTTTTCCACTGATATCTCAACTATAGTCATCGCATTTCACTGAAACTTGGTGCCTAGATGTCATAGGACACTGCACAGACCTAGTAGTTTTTAGGGTATATCAGTACATATTAATTACCTAATTTGCATAATAAATTAATTTTCAGCTTTTGATATTTCAAGTAGTAAGCATTACATTACAATGAAACATGGTACATAGATACTCAAGGACTATGCAGAGATCAATTGTTTTGGGATAAATATTTGTGCATATTAATCACCTAATTTGCATAATTAGTTACTTTTCGGATTTTCATGTATATCTCAAGTACTAATCATCACATTTCAATGAAACTTAGTACATAGATGCTCTCGGACAATGTACAGATATGATCAATTTTGGGTTAAAGTCTGTTCCTATTAATTCTCTAATTAGCATAATAATTCATAATTTTTGGTTCTGATCACATTTCAATAAAACATGTTACATAGATAGTCTGTTACATTGCCCAGACCTTATTAGTTTTACATTCTCTAATACTCTCAGCACACGGGAGTTCTTTCTAAGCTTTCTTTGATTATGGTCTGTCTGTCTGTCTAAATTATTTTACTTTGATACAACTCTCACAATATTGTTTTAAACTCAGAAGAGCACAAGCATGGTTTGTCCACAGTCCCTCTATGATAGAGGGACTGTGGTTTGTCGTATCAAATTTATGGTAAGACAATATCCTTCTGGCCGCCAGCCGCGCGAAATAATGGCCCAACCTTACACAAGTTTGTTTTGCAATATATCACGGAAAGCTGCGTGGCCTCAAAGTGACATATTCACCAACTTAAGCAGTTTAAATGAGTATACGCATGCGTACAAGTGGCGCGCCAAAAGATGAAATAGTACAGTGGAGGTGTAAATAACTGCACCCAAGTCCTGACATTTGCAGATTGTTTTCGAAATACGTTGTAATTGATTATTTTTTCTGAAGCAGAATGATTGGCGTAGTTGAGGAGCCTTCAGGAAAGGTAAGCATTTAATCTATTATTGGTCCGTAAGCGTTAGATATTAAAGTCAACAACGAGTCGTCTGAGCAAGTTGTACGTGTATCACTGTATATAGTACATTTCCGGTTTCGCACACAATCCTTTGTTACCAAACAAAGCAATATTTAAGCAATAATAATAACTATCGCTATGCAAACAATAGTTTAATTGTATTTGTGTGGTATTTTTATATACTGTGGTTACAAGGCTGTTCGATAACTTGTAAGTCACTTCACCCGGCCAAGTTTTTCTTTTTGTTTGGCGCGTTCTCTATGTTGAGTCAAAACAGGAATCGTACACCATACACATAGATAGGGGGCGCGCACACAAGCCACACATATGTCGTCGCGACCTTGTGTTCTTTTGTGATGGCATAACGTATAATACATGTACTATGTGTTGTTTTTTTCACTATAACGCTACATATATACTACATATCTTTAGTCTTTGTGATGGTATTCTAAGTAATTTCTGGTATATTTTGTCATTAAATTTGTTATTTTCAGATATTAAGATTAGTATTGACACAGAAGAACTATGGTTCCTTCCAAACGTGCTACGACAAATGTCATCACAAATAAGTCAAAAGTAGAATATTTTCTTGCATCATACCATCAAAGCTATCGCCAATCGATATGTTTATTAAAATCTCACCAAAGCCAAAACCTTGAAAAAAAACATTAGATTGATGTTCTTTTTCCTGGAATTTAGTGCTCCCTGCTATACGTAACTCCAATGGTAGCCATTTTCTCCAGGTAGAAGGTATTCCCTATAAGTTGTTGGGTACTCCTGTGAAGCGAAAATGTCATCTACTTCAGATGCATATGTATACATGCAGTTTTTTGAGAGACATGTACAAATAAATGTCATTTCATGTATGTAGAAAACAGGAAAAATAGACAACGGTGAATACCAAGAAGACTATAGCAAAATATTAATAGTAGCAGACTACCATTACCTGGCATTTCAGCTGTTACGAGGGAAGTTGTAATATATTGATGTTGTCATTTAGCAAAGTATTAGTAATTTTGTCCTTGTTCGACCTCAAGAAAATGGCTGTCACTTGAGTTACATATGATTTAGCAAGCTAAATCCTGGAAAAAACAACTTCAAACAGATCATTTTTGTCACGGTTTGTGCACTGTTTAATGAACTTACAATTGCTTGGTGATAGTTTCAGTTGCTCGATATATTGAAATGGTGTACTTTTATTGACTTGTATTTGTCATGACATTTTGTGTCGCCATTTGTGTTATGTATGAGGAACCACAGCTCTTCTGTGTAGTTAGAAATCCTAATGTCTGAAAATAACAAACTTGATGACACATAATATATGACTAAATATATAACAGATATGACAATCACAAAGACTAAAGACTGACACAAGAGCTATGGACCCACTGCTACTCTGACCATAACTGTTCACATTCATTGCTGAGCATTATTGAAAAAAAAAATCACTGAGTATAGCATATTACATAGAGAACTGTCACACAGTCATAACTGTGTTTCTTTGCAACAATGGACTGAAATTCAGACCACACTGTTGCCAGCAGTGTTTGGCGCAAACCATGATTTACTAAGTGAATGTTTTTAAGAAAGTTGTTTTAAGCTATTTTATGTTAATTATTCATATTATTTGTACACCACTAGTGGGTTATGCTGTAAACAATTGCTGTAACTCTTTGACATCACTCGAAGCCTGGGAAAGACTTTCCGTTGTACCCTACCTCTAAACTTAACTCTAACCATAACCCACTGATTTTTTTCACTTTTTTGAATTAGTTTTTCCAAATTCAAATTCATTGTTTTCAATGTTATGTAGTGTAATATGACTAGGTACATTTATATTTAGTCACTGCCAGTTAGTCTCCATTGAGACTCTAACTCATCAATTTGTTGCTCTTTGTTGCCAAACACGGTTCAGTTGAAAGCTTGTTGAAAAAGATGAGTTTTTAGTCTGGATTTGAAAATATCCACATTGGGTTATGCAGATGTTGTTTAAATGGTTCTATAGTGAAGGTGCTGAATGTTCAAATTACAGGGCACAAAGGTTCAATTACAATGTCATTGAGTAATTATCCTGGTGGTTACATTAATTCATAATAATTTTTGTTTTAATCAGGCTGTATTGTCAACAGTGCTAGATCATGATATATTTGAATCGGCAGTTGATGATGATGACAGTAGGAAATCATGGAAGAATGAGAAGATTGTCAAGAAGGTGATCACGTCTACTCCAGGTAATCTCTTCTTTGTTGATTCAAATACTGTGTGTAATCTTTGTGTTGGTTGCTATTCATGTTTTTATTACCCTACTCTACCCAAAACGCGATATCTGATAATTTAAAAGAAATTTTGAACAATGCTTGTTTAGAGCATCCTCATCACTTATTTCACTAATAAGGGTCACTCTCGTTAACTTCATTAATGTTTATTTTCTGATTCTACATTGACAGAGAAACTGCATGTTGATAATAGTGAGGAAGACAATCACAGTGCTAGGAATGGTGATATTGTACAGTCTAGTAGTCAAAAGAATGAAACCATATCTCAGGATAGTGATAATGAAATTGACAGTTCAACTTATAAAGAAAGAAATAGACTACTAATATTTGACAGTGATGATGATGATGGGAATGGAGATGATGCACTTGTTGAAATTAAAAGTAATGGACAACATGAGGTTGATAAGGATAGTTCTGATGGTGATGACAGTGATGATGATGTGGTGCTTTCAACATTTAAGAAGAAGAATAGATCTTTTCTAGATAGTGACTGTGATGATGAAAACGATGACAAGTCAGAAACACCAATGAGGAAAAAAATCAAAAAGACAATTTTAGAAAGTGATGATGAAAGTGATGATGAAGAAAAAAAAGATGATGACAGCGAAGATGAGGAAGAAAACAGAGCTAGCGATAATAATGATGCAGATGAAGAAATGAACAATGGAGAAGAAATGATCAGGGCAAAAAGTACTAAAGAAAGATCAGACCGGGTAAATAGTTTGATTGCAGTAGTTGTGTAGTTGTTTGAAAATCATTGTCAATTTGTTGGTAGTTAGCTCCTTACAATTTATAACTGATGATTATTTCAGGAACTAAAACCCAGGAGAGCTAAGAAGAGTGATGTTCAAAGTATCCACAGTGAAAGTCAACGAATTGTTCGAGGTGAGCTTCATTCATTTGTGAAATATTTCTGACTGGAATGACCTCACACAGTGGCAGTGACAAAAAAAGTGATGCACAATTTTCTATTTATATTAATTTTAATTTGTTATTGCTTACTGTTAGTTTGCTTTACTTTTTGTATTTTCTGTGGCAGTACATAGACATGTATACATATAACTTAGTTTCAAATACAATCTCTAATTTCTGACATTAAAATTTGAATATTATTATTAGAATTTGATGAAATGAAATAATGTCATAATTAACTACGTCTCAAACTGTTTCTCATACAATTGATGACACAGACCTGTGAAAGTACTTGTTTCTGTCATTTGAATTTAAATGTAAATCAGAGTTTCCAATGCATTTATTAATTGGTAATGTATATATTTACTTTATTAGAAATACATCTCCATTTAATTTTCAGAGTCTGTGGTCAGTCTTCCATACCATAAACCCAAACCTCTAAGTTTAGATGACTTTTTTAACAAAAAACCCATAATTAAAGAATTGAAACCAATTAAAGGAAAGATTCCCACAAGGTGAGTTTCAATTATTATACTACAAAGTGTTTTTCTTGTTAGTCTACTTCAACATGTACATAAAAAATGTGCAAATAATGTATGTACAGGTTTATTTTATGTTTACTTTAAAAAAAAGAAATGCAGATACATTTGCTGAAAACATTTTCCTCTTTGACTGTATTAGTAATTTATCAATTACTAAATTTTGAATTAACATCATACATCTCTGATTAAAAAAAATTGATGATCTTTGATAAATACTGTATAAAAAGGAAAGTTTTGCTCAATTAATACTATATTATTGTTGAATCATGTGTTTTACTTTTTTTTATAGGAAGCTTAAAATATCAAATGA